ATTGCCCCCCCCCAGCAAGCTGGGTACTCATTTTACCGACCTCGGAAGGATGGAAGGCTGAGTCAACCTTGAGCCGGCTACCTGGGATTTGAACCCCAGGTCGTGAGCACAGTTTTAGCTGGCAGTACAGCGTTTTAACCACTGCGCCACGAGGCTCTTTTGTTACTGAATTAGTAACAACAACAACAATAACAATTCATTAATAATAATTAATAATAATTATTAATAATAACATGGTGCATCAGGCATGAGGGTGGCTGATCCACATCACAAGCTCTCTTTTGTGAAAACCCACTGGGGTTGAAACAGAAAAGGGTCTCAAAATAAATCATTGTGATCTTCTGTTGACATCTTTGTAAACCTGAATGGGAGATACTGGCTATGAAGTCGATGGTTGGAATGAGAGGACAGCTCACTCGCGCACCTGTTTGGGATATTCTGTGCTAGGCTTGTGTGGTGAGAATTGTTTCAGTTATTGAAAATGCCGGCACCAAGAGAGGCCAGAAAATCCACAGGTAGAAATTGAGTATTTTCTGTCCCGGCCCCTTTATTGCGGAACAAGCTACCGTCGGCGATTCCCCAAGCACCGTCTCTTCTGACCTTTAGAAAAACCCTGAACACTGAATTCTTTGGGAAAACTTTGACACTTCTTTTTATTGTGTTTTGTTATTTGTTGATTGCCAGTATGTTTAACTCTTGTTTTGTTGCTGTTGTAATATAATATCGCAGCTGTTTCTGCGCTGCTCAGAAAGTGCCTATTCACTATGGGGTGGTATAAAAATATAATAAATAAATAAGACTTGCCATGTGAGGAGAGTATTTTGAAATACGGGGTCAATGTTGTCTTATGTGTTGCCCGGACATGCATGTGTTGGATGGATTTGTTATTGTCTGTGATTTGGCTGTGTGGAAGAACCAGGGCCCATTTGCTTTGAGTAAACAGAATAAGAGTCCTTGTGTTCTGACCATCATGTAGGACGCACATGTGGGGGCCGAAGTGCTGAATAAATGCTGCGTTATAGCAAGGTGGGAAAAGTAATGTGCGTCTGTCATTCAGGGTTTAATATCTAAACATTCTCAGCTTTCTTTTGACCCATTCCTTAACACTACCTGTACAAAACAGTCAACGTTGTGCAGTTCGAAGCAAACAAGGGAGCGATCGGCAAGGCTTACAAGAAGGACGCCAAGCTGGTTCTGGAATACCTTTCCATCTGTGATGAGTGTTACGTCAGCGAGATGGAGGAGCTGTTGAATGAAAAAGGGTACGTTGGGCCCAGGAAGATGAACAAACGCCCTGATCCTCTTGCTTCCGTCATTGATTCAGATTGGATTGTCCAGGGCTGTCTCCTGACAAATTTGCCACTGTATTCGTTTCTGGAAAATCCTCAGAAAATCAGGATTTTATTGCTGTTTCAGGTGGCAAGCTCTTCTTAGTGCTTTAAGCCCTAGGCTGTGTAGAACTAACATTGGGATTTCAAGTGGGCTGAGATTTCCCACTTGATCCACAGACTTTTCAAGAACTTTGTCGAGGACAAAAGGTAGTAACTTTGCTCTTTCTGAAGGAAACCCGAAAATATCAGAACGGGTTCAATAACGTGAAAGTGGGGCTGAATCAGCTACCAGGCGGTAGAGCTAACCACGGTCTTTTATAGTGCTTTTCTCCCTGTTGTTTAGTCATTTAGTCATGTCCGACTCTTTCTCCTAGTGCCTTTTAAAACCACGAACAAAATGCCAAAGTATTCCAGAAATAGAAATGGTGAGGGAGAGTTTATACAATTGCCGTGCTCTGGTTTTTTAAACATGGTACCCCGAATATCCCATGCCCGATAGTCTCAGTTTACTAACCTAGAAGCCCCTCTCAGACAGGAACAGAAATTGTGGAAGTGTCTTAATAACCTTTGAAAAACCTTTGAACTGTGGAGTTGGAAGGGGCCCTATGGATTGGCGAGTCTAGCCCCTCTTAAAGAGGCACAGCGGGGAATCGAACTCCCAACCACCTAAGCCCCTGAGCTATCCAGCAGTTCCCTTTGATGTATATTGATCCGTCCTTGTCAATGGGAAGCAATGAACTCTTCCTCAGATGTTTCCCTTCCAGAAGAACACACTCAATCAACATGTTTTTTCCCCAGATTTAGCTGCTGGTTAGCAGTCTGTCTGCAGCATCCTTTCTTTGCTTTTTGCCTCTGCTTTCACTTACCTTCAGCTCCCCTGTTGTCTCTTACTTAACTGGACCCTTGTTGGTCCTCTTTTGAATGAGATGTGGCTCATCTTAGGCTTTCCTCTGGCATGTCCTTGTTTTTGGCTTCTTTTAACTCAAAGCCAGAATAAGATGTTGCCTTGCACTGTGTCAGACCTTCAGTCCATCTAAACCCAGTGGTTCCCAACCTGGGGTCCCCAGATGTTCTTAGACTACAGCTCCCAGAATCCCTGGCCAGCACAGCTAGCAATGAAGGCTTCTAGGCATTTTAGTCCAAGAATACATGGGGGCCCCAGGTTGGGAACCCATGATCTAGCTGCACATTGTTGGCTCAGATTGTCAAAAGCACTCCAGGCTTTCAAGCAGGGTGGTTGCCTAGCCCTGCCTGGGGTTCTCCTGTCCAAGCGCTAGCCTGGTCCAACTCTACTCAGCTTCCAAGATCAGGTGTGACCAAGGTTATATGGAGGGAGTCTTGAGCGGATTCTTCTGCGGTGGATTTCATTTTGAAGATTCTTTCCTCTTTCTTTTACAGGGAATTTACTATTGAAACTGAAGGGAAAACTTTTCAATTATCAAAGGACATGGTCAGTGTGAAAAGATGCCAGAAGACCTTACACGGTACGTCTCCGGTCCCTATACCTAGTACGGTCTTTAGAAATTCACAAAGGGAGAACCTTCTCGAAAGTTAGTGGGAGCCCTCTATTAACTAATCAGGGACTGGTTCATAGGCTTCCATGGCATTATGGCGGCCATTGAAAGAACGTCTCTTTGGTCAGAGGTGCAAACCAATGCAGGGCTAATCACCTGGTTGAACTGATGACGTAGTTAATTTCCCATGGCAATCCGTTACAACTGTGAGGCCTCTCATGTTGGCCAAGTCATCTTAGTGGCCTTTGCATGCGTTATCACTGCGGTATTAGAACCCCAGTGCTGCTGATGTTAAAAATACATAACCAGACATCTGGTACCTTTGATTCAGGCAATGATACTCTCTCTGATCTTGTTTTTCCTTCCAGTGGAAGAGATTGTTCCCAACGTGATCGAGCCTTCATTTGGTATCGGAAGAATCATGTATACAGTATTTGAGCACACATTCCGCATCCGGGAGGGAGATGAACAGAGAACGGTAGGGATTCTTGCACTTTTAATAATAGTAATAGCAACGAGAACTTTTGAACTGCAGAGCTGGGAGGGACCCTATGGCTCAAGGGGGCCCAGTGGGGAGTTGAACTCTCAGCCTCTGGCTCCGCAGCCAGAGACCTAAGCCACTGAGCTATCCAGCAGCTCAGCTTGACTTAGGAATTGGTGGGTGTATAGGAATCTTTACAGGATGCATTCAAGTCTGGTTCTAGATGCTCCTCACGCAACAATCTAGTAGACAGACCT